CAAACCCTAAACCGTAAACCCTCAGTAACCCTATCGACATTAGGCAGGTTGGTTCGTAGGATATTTTTTCTCCATTTCCAGAGAGCCTAATACATTTTGATCAAGAAACATGAGGCTTTCCCCAATTTAAAGGTACCCTGAATGGGGGATATATGCGGTTGTCCAGGGCTATATGAGATTTAGGGTTTATGGATTTGTGTTTCCCAGACTTAGGGGTACCTGTTNNTTTAAGGATTGCAGTATATTGGAGTCTACATGGGGTTGCCTTATTTGTGAAAGCTACCCTCTACCTTGAATGATACTAGGATCCCTATCAGGGCTGTTCCCTAACTAAGGGGTTTTGGACTCCCTGGGTACAAGAACAGCCCAGGAGAAAGCGGAAGAAAAGGAGCAGGACGGGGGGCATGAAAAACCATGACATATGTACTACTCCTTAAAGTGGTTATGCAGGAGATTATATAGTGGAGTATTATAGGGGTTACTATGGGGGATACCAGGAGTTTAGACTATAGCTGATACTATCTTGAGGTCCCCAGCAGATTGTGCGGTGAACTGTTGAAGGATGGCGGACTTGAGGTTTGCGGCTTGCGCTGACCAAATCTTCCTATCATGCTAAAGCATGGTGTTTGAGAACTACCGCCATTGCATGATTTTTCATGTTTTTTGGATGAAATCCGGCACCTATTCCTGACTTCTGGCATGTTGAAAATATTTCAGGCTTCCAGACCTCAATCAAAAGAATGCTGGATGCCGTGTCAGCTTCAAGCACTAGCCTTCGCCAATTCTTGAAATGCAATTGGGAGCTTTCAAAGAGTGACTGCAGTCCCTGTGCATGAACAGGGCTCATGGATGTTGTTTCCTCGTGGAAGCTTCACCTACCCCATGGAACAAGCCCAAAGGCCGAATAAATGAATCTCAAGTCCCACTAAAACCAAATGGGAGTTTCCCAAAATTAAGGCTACCATTTTGGGGGTCCCTATAATAAGGACTAAAGTATTTGGGGGTCTGTATTGGGGTCCCCCTATTTGGGAAACTACCAAATCCCAAAACTCTATTCTCCATCCGCAGCCTTCACCCTTAACCCTAAATAGTAGTTTCCATTTTATTCTCCATTATCGTAATATGGCCCCAGTATAACCCTACTATACGCAGGAGAAGAAGGACGAGAAAATGGAAACAAAAGAGCCTGAGCAGGAGAAGCAGGATGACGACAAAGAGGAAGATGAGAAGGTTGCTTTAGGGTTTCTAGTCCCCCTGAAGTAGATAGAATATAGGGGTTTAGGGTTTAGGATTTAGGGTTTAGGGTTTAGGGTTTGGGTTTTGGGGTTATAGTCCCCCTT